GCAGGACAAAAGCAGCACCCCCAGGTGGGTCCAATATGAGCCTCATCCCTATGACTAACCCAGCTCACCAGACTGCCCATGCCTCTCGCTGATGCTTCCCTGCCCCACTGGTATGCCTGAACTCTCAGAACATTCTGCTTTACCGAAGTGCAAACAGCTAGGTCTCTCTTTCTCTCTTCTCCTTGGTTCATTTAAGAAAAAGTTAAAAGCCTGTCAAAACAAACTTTACTAAGAAATTGAAGAGAAAACAAACCTAAACAGGAAAACAGAAAGGCACAGACTGACGCATTTACAGAGATGGCTCTCTTACTCTGAAGTTACCAAAGCTTAGTCACAGATGGGCTTGGCTTGTGTAGTTGATCAGGTGAATTCTTTCTTTCTGGAACACTGATGGAATTGGATGCTAGACCAATCTACTCTTGCGCCTAACCTCAGTGGGATTCAGGAAAGCATGGCTGCTGAGTTTGGTGAGATTCCTGGCCCCTGGTTTCTCAGCAAAGCCACTGTCCCCTAGTCCTGGGCTGCCTTACACTAGGGCTGTGCTGCTGCCATGGGCTCTCCGTGGAAAGGGGGGGTGGCATTAGGATATACTGGATCCTATTCTGAGCCAGGCACCAACTAGAGGCTTTTAATGAATTTTATTTAATCTTCCTAACAACTCCATGGTAAGTTTTATTATACCTGAATTTCAGTGAGGAGCCACTGAAGGATTTTAAGCCTAGGAAATGGCACAGTCTTACTAGTCTTTGAGAAAGATTACCTGGACGGCAATATGGAGGGGCTGGATTGGAGAGGAAAATATTGGAGGCAGGGAATATCGATCAGTAGGCAATGTAGTAATCTAGGCAAGAAATGATGATGGCCATCTAAGGCAGTGGTAGATAGAAGGGGGCATACTGGAGAAGAATCAAGAAGATAGAATTAGCGCAACTTAATGACTCATTGGATATGAAGGGTGAGAAGGAGCTGTTAAGGTTAATTACAATTAAGAAAAAATTTGCTTGTGTTTAAGAATTACAGAGATCAAGATAAAATAAACTTCATATTATAATACTAAATAATGATTTTTAAAAATTAACTTAATGAGAAGAAATTATTCAGTAAAATAGTCAAGAATTCTTTGTTGAAGGTAATCCATTTTTCCTTATAGTATTTACTGGATTGGATCACGAAGAAGATAAAGCCACCATAAACCTTTTTAAAAATAATACCATATATCAAGGATTTTCAAGAGGTACTGTGTTTTGATTAAATTCTGTAAAACTAGATAATAAAAAACAATCTACTTGGTCTTTTTGATTCAAACACAGTAAGAATTCTTGTGGTTTGCAGACAGATTCTTCTGAATGTTGGCTCAGTAAAAAAATACATGCCGTTCCTGTCTATTTTTTAGGTAAGAATAAGTGTAGGGCATTTTGTCAGTTTCTCTGAGTCCTTGAGAAACTGCTAAACTTACCCCCACATTTAATAAAGTGCAATGACAGACAACATTTTTCATCTTGATCACAGAACTGAATCTGCCCTAAAGCAACGCCACAGTTCACTGGAGGTTTCACACATCGTGAGGAAATCCACAGTAGAGAACACTCACGCAAGCCCTAAGATGAGATCTTTTTTCAGTGGTCACTCAGCAGTGTCTCCAAATTCTTACAAAGGTTCAACAAAAATGCTGTAACATGCTAGCAAGGATCTACAGTAAATAGAAAATTCAGTTATAACAAAGGTGTGGCATGAAAAAGAACTTGCTGTTCTATTAGATACTCATAGGCTAGTGGGACCTGCTGATATTAACCGGAAAAATCTGTGCGTGAGGCATCGACGTGTGAGGCCAGTAAAGTACCTGACAGGTAAAAAGGTAGTGGAAAGGAAGAAAAGAAGGGCTTAATAAGGAGCTGCTCTGTTGCTCACAAACAAGAAAGCATGGACAGAAAGACAAAAGAAAAAGCATCAAATTTTGTGCCCTCAGTAGAGAACACACTGGACTCTGAAAATTCACTCTCAGTCATTATTTGGAATTCAGAATGCATATTTTTCACTTTATAAATGATGGCTATCTCCCAGATTAGTCCACAAAAGCATTTTTAGAAATAAAATACTATTCATAATGAGGGAAAGAGGGTAAAAACAGCCAATACTTATATTTAAACCAAACAGGATACATTTAAGAAAAAATATTTCTAATCTATCTTGAATGCTGTTATTTAAATCTCTTTAAATCTGTCCCTGAGACTGCCCTTTCCCCTAAGTGTGAAGGGAAATCTGCACCATTGTGCCGCCCTACTCTCACGCTTCTGCCGTTGTCGGGGCCCACTCAGGCCGCACCTCTGTGTACTGAGAGACTATGCGATTACCCTGTCTGCCCACTCGGCTCTTCCCTGGAGGGACCACGGACCACAAAAAAGCAGTATTAATTCAATAAACAAACATTTACTGCGTGCCTGAAATGTGCCATATACCATGCTAAGTGGTGGGATATAAAATCCAAAACCCAAATTCATGGTCAGGTTGAAACTCAGGTTAACTTTTAACTCTTCATTCATGCTCGCTGCTACCAAATCCCTTTAAGTAAATTTATATGGGGAAATAATTAATGATATTTTATGAAGCTGCATTTACGATATGTAAGTCAGGTTGTATTGTAAGGGCTATCAGTGCTAGGCTGGAACTGATGACAGTGGCTGGCAAGCTGCATGTGAGATCAGTCCCACTAAAGTACCAGTAAAGATGAGGAAGGCACGATAATACACAAAACAGCTACCCTCCCCAATTTCTTCCTAGTTTTCTGTGATCCCTTAATATTAATTTAGACAAACTTCATATCACTGAGCCACTTAATTTGATTGCCTTAAACAAATATTCTGAATTCACTCAAAGCCTAGTACCTTTCCTCTCTATCGTGCCCACTGAAGCAGTCTTTATGATTAAAGCCTCTTTAATACGGGATTTGGCTTCGATTTTCAATGTTAATTAAAATGGTGCAAGTGAGTTCTTCTGAAGGTAGTAGAGTTCACATTATGAAAAGAACAACTTTTTCTTTTCATCCGGAGATAGAATTATAGATTATATAGTTACATCCCCCAAAATCCTAATGTTCTATTAAATCCACTAGAAAGACAATGCTTGTGCCATTTTCTTTTGATATGACTAGGCCCCATAAGAAAATACACTTGATCAAATTACAGATTTATGTGTAATTCATATTTAATATTACACGAATGCTTAGACTAAATTACTAGAAACCTGCCAAGAAATTTCCAAGACCGCAATTAGACTTTAATCACTTTAAATCTATTAATAGTTTCCTCAAGAAATCATAAAGTGATAAAAACCAGAATACATATTAACTGTTGTTCAAGGGGTGAAGAGGACTAAAGATTCTTAAACTTTTTATTTAAAGATAATTATAGATTCACACGCAGCTGTAAGAAATAACAGAGAGACCCTGTGTACCCTTAACGC